CCTGAATGTAATACGTCAATGCCGTTTTTGAATTCGCAGCCACTTTTCCAAATCCGCTTTCGTAACAGAGTCCGTGCCAGTATGCGGCTTTGTGCTTACCCTTGTTAAATGATTCCAGAAAACGATCGTACGCGATAACCCAGTCAAACTCTGTCCCTATCTTTTGCATATGAAACAACCCAATTAACAAAAGGCTGTCCTTGTAATCCTGATTACACGTAAGAACATGAAGTACTTCTTCCTCCTTATAGTTCATTTGCTTGATCCACTTTTTAATATGGCTGGCTGGAATAGCGGCGAGTGTACTCTTTCCGAGACCACTTTCAAAGGTCCGCAATAACTCGTCTATCAGTTGATGATCTGACATTTGAATTCGTCCCGTGGGTGGGTTGATCGTCTCCAATTTGACAGAGTCATATAACGTGTCTGGTTGCTGTTCTTCGTTAACTATCATAATCTGGTCGCTCAAGAAGCGTTGGTCATCGTTAACTGTGGATGAATCTAGTGTAAACAGCTGCCTTAATCTTTCATGGGCCTCTCTACAAGTAGGTCGCTTGTCGGGAGATGTATCCCAACAGTCTGAATAAAGATTGATAAAGCCATCTGGTGTTCCCGATACAGGAGAATCACGCGATTCGTTAAAACTGTATATTATATCTCCTTGGCTGTAAATAATCCGTCACAAGGACGTCTTCCATTTGAAATCTCCCAGAGTATTAAAAATATCAGACTTTTGGGTACGCTTAGCCTTTCCGGGTGAATGATAATGGATCCATGTAAGTTGGTTGACAATATGCGATATGTGTCCAACTGTTCAACTCAAATGCGAGTTACCAAAAAACATTTTTGACGTCAACCTTTCTTTTTTGTTGTGAGTTGAGAGTTAGAATAATGTATCAGGACGCTCGAGATATGGCGAGCTAAGCAAACTGATATCATTGTGTTGTTTTAAACGTATTTCCGACATGTTAGCATAATTTAAAGATCCGACCCCTTATTATTTGCCTTGTGCTTCGGTGTCCACCAATTGTATCTTCTTGTACG